CCTGGACTTTAAAAATTAGGCTACATTGGAAGGTGGCAAATGCTACGGAGGAGAAATGGGCTAGGAGGGAGTGTGCTGTTCTAAAGGAGGAGGTCAGGGAAGACTCGCTGAGAGAGCAGGTTTGTGCAAAGACTTGGAGAAGGCGGGGGGGGGACACACTCAGCTCTGAACAGCAGGCAGAGTCAGGGTAAACGCACTGGTGCTGAAGATAGGGTGGTGGTGGTGATGTTGCTGATGGTGATGGTTGGAAGGTGATGGTGGTGATGGTGATGGCTGTAATGACGTAATGGTCATGGTGATGATGGTCACATGATGGTAATCAGGATGGTGATGACAGTGACAGTTATGATGGATGGTGATGATGATAACCATGGTGATGGTGATGAAGGTGATGGTGGTGGTGATGGATGGTGATGATAACAGTAATGGTGCTGGCGGTGATAGTTGTAATGACAGCGACAGTGATGGTGATGATAATCATATGGTGAAGGTATGATGGGGATGTTGGCAACAATGATGATGATTGTGGTGGCAATAATAATAACGGGGGCTATAATGAGGATGATGGTAGTGATGACAGCTACATATGACACTTAAGTGTACCACATACTGGTGCGGGAGAATTATCTGTATTCTGTCAATCATATTTTAATAAAATGCTGATTGGCCAGGCAGGCAGTATAGGCAGGAAAGCCAGACAGGAAGTAGGGGTGGAGCAAAGAGACTGGGAGTATTCTGGAAGCAGAAGCTCTCTCTCAGCCATTCCTGTGCAAACCACCAAAGAGGCAACATGTAAGCTGACAACTGAAAAAGGTACTGAGCTGTGTGCTAACGTAGATAAGGATAATGGGGTAACATAAGTTATAAGAACTAATAAGTAGCCTGACCTAATGAGCCAATCAGTTTATAATCTTATGAAGTCTTGTGAGTGATTTTCTTTGGGCTTGCCAGTTGTGGGGTACTGGGCGGGACAGATACCCCAACAAGCCAGCCCTCATGTTACAACATACTCTAATAAGCACTTGGCTATTAATTCGTAGCGAGTTAGCACTCACTGACAACGAGTGTGCTTCTGATCCCCTTGCCTCCACTGATCAAGTGTGCACTACCACACCCAGTGTATTTGGTGCCCAGGGATTTGTGCACGCTAGGAAAGCACTCCAATTGAGTTATATTCCCAACCCTAAGGGAGTAATTATCCTCAAATTTATGTATGTGAGTGTGTGTGTGTGTGTGTGTGTGTGCTGTTGTTGTTGCTGTTATTTTGAGATAGAGTATTTCTCTGTCCTGGTACTTGTTATGTGAACCAGTCTGATCTCAAACACCCACTAATTCTCCTGCTTTAGCCTCCAAGAAAATTGAGATTACATATGTGTAGCACCTTGCTCATCTGATTTTGGATTATTATTTAATAATCTCTCCTCTCTCTTCCTCTCTCCCTCCCCCCCTTCTCCCTCCCTTCCTTCCTTCATATCTCCCTCTCTTTTCTGTCTCTGGAATTCTTACTTTGTTGACGTGGGATCTCATATAGCCCAGGCTGTCTCCAAATTCAATATGTGACCAAGGATGGCACTGGATGCTTGATCCTCCTGCCTCCATTTTCCAGGGCTGGGACTACAGGCACGAGCCACTGCACCTGCTATGAATGGTTATTAACAGAACTAAGCTAGCCTGGAGTGGTTTGTCTCTTGAGTCTGCAACATCCTAATGTGTGAATCAGTCAGTCTTGTGTGTAGACTCTTTATTGCAGGTGTGGCTATTCCTCCCTCTTTTAAAATTTAATTTCAAAAAATACTATATAAATTAAGTTAGTATACAAAGTAACTGGTTTCCTTGTGGGGTTTTAATTTTTTAAAGATTTATTTTATGTGTTTTGCTGCTTGTGTATCTGTGCACCACACACCATGTTGTGCCCTCAGAGGCCAAAAGAGGGCGTCATCTCCCTTAGGACTGGAGTTACCGATTCCTGTGAACCTTCATGTAATAGTTGTGCTGGGGATGGGACCCAGGTCCTCTAGCAGAGCAGCCTGCGCTGTTAGCCACTGAGCCAGCTCCCCAGCCCATCAGTGGCATTTTCACACACACTCAGTGTGTGTTGGTCCCATCCTCCTTGTTCCTCCCCCTCGTCTCCGTGCCTCCGTGCCCCAGGCTCACTCATACCCATCCACCCACAGTCGTCCACCATCCTGCCCCTTCTGTATCGCAGGTGTTGCTACCTTCCTCCGCTCCCTTCCTTAGAGCCGCATTTCTCCTCTCACCGTCCGTTTCTAGTTTTCCTGTCTCGACCGACCCGACCGACCGACCGACCGACCCTCACAGAATACACATATAAACAGATTAGCCACTGTAGGCCAGCTAGACCAACTCAGCGTGTAGAGACACTTGCAGCCAAGCCTCACTTATTGAGTCAACTATCAGGAACAGGATTGAAGAGATAGCTCAGTGCTTAAAAACACCCTCCTGCTCTTCCAGGGACGGATGCAGCTCTCAGCACATGCCAGGTGGCTCACCACCGCCTGTAACCCTCCTCTGGCCTCACCAGGCAGCCAGGCACACTCCCATAAATACATACACATTTAAAGACGTTTTTTAAACAAAATCCATATAAAGCAGTCCTCTGGCCTTCGTGTGTGGTGTGGAGAGAGCGGCAGGAGGAGGTGGAGGGAACATGCACACAAAATAAATAGATAGGTTTTTTTTAAGTTACATAAAATTTAATTTTTAGAAATAAAAGAATTTGGGGGCATAGTTCCGCCCCAGTTGTTTATGAAAGCCACCCATGTGATGCTGAGGGCTGGAAGTGCCAGGAGACATCAGTGCCTTAGCTTCTGGCAAGAGACACAGGGAGTGGGCAGCACTGTAGGATGCACACTCAACACGGTGGTGTGCGCCAGCCCACGGCTCCCTTTGCAATTATTGATTGGAAAGGCGCTCTTCTCCCGAGAAGGTTCATTTTTATATATTGGAATAGGGCTATAATAAATCTTCACTGTCAAGATGTGCAGTGCACAACCCTACAGCAATCAAATCCTTCCTGAGAAGACATATTGACTAGACAGACTCAAGAAAATGAAGGCAGGGGCCAGGAAATGAGCCTGGAGGAAAAAGAAGGGGGGCTGAAAAGAAGGAACAAGTATCTCTGGGTAAAGCCGGGGATAACTAGAAGAGAGGCCTTTTGCAGGCAAAGCTGAAATTCTCTCTCCCTCTCTCCCTTTCTCTCTCTCCCCTGCCCACCCCAGGCAGTTTGCCAAGATTGAAGCTGCCACCCAGCACCTGGCCCTGTCCATCCTCTCTCAAAAAGCGCCTCCCCAGAGACCACCACCCAGAAGACCACCTCCACCACCTCCATCCCCCTTTCTGGGGGTGGCCTGTGCTGAGGCCCCCATGGAAGGGCCCCACGACGACGGCCCCAGTCTAAATCTAGCTGCCCTGGACACCTCGACCCTTGACCTCTTTGATGACATTCTGCTCACTCCTGCATGCTCCCTGGTGGCTCCAGAAGACTTCTGCCAGACACCCCAGGAGGCGTCTGAACTCACCTCTCATGCTCCAGGCCCAGAAAACCAGAGAGACCCAACCCCACTGCAGGCTCCAAGGTTCTCCAATCCTCTGCCCCCTCCCCAGAATGCCCATGGGGGAAGTCCAGAGCCTACAGCTCTAGGCTGGGGTTGGGTGGGCAATTGGGAGGCACCTTGTGCCTGGGATCCTAGAGGAATTATGGATGGCTGGGGGACCCTTTGAAACCTTTTGGAGACACAGGCCAGACCCATCTCAGGCCCAACCAAACTCTGCCCTCTTGACAGACCTGAGGATGTGTAGTTCAGTTGGTAGGCTGCGTGCCTGATGTGCAAGCAGCCCTGGGTTCCAGTCCCAGAACCCACAAACCTGTAAAACAAACCAATCCCAGACACTCACTGTGTACCACCAGGAGCCCTGCTCCCAGGCCCAGTGCCCCCTCTGTCCACTCCCTGCCTGTGAATTTTCCTTTCTCCCTTCCCAGCACAGGTTGCCCCCTTCCCTCCCCCCTCTTCTCTCCCTGGAGTCTGCTCTCTCTCTCTCAACAGTCCCCCAATTCTTGGTGTTACGACCCTGCAGTAGTCAAAGGTAGACAAGAGCCCCACCCTGTGGAGCTCTAACAGTGGGGGGTGAGAGAGAGAATACGTGAGAACCCTCAGAGAGCTTCCACAGCCAGATGAAATTCCAATTTCTGATCAGAATGGGTGCTGGGATTATAAATAAAATGTGCTGCTGACAGACTGGCTCCTGGACATGGACCCACCAGGGACAGTCTCAGACACTGAGCGGAAGCAAGCTGTAGAAGGGCGTGGGACCCAGGAGCAGGAACAGCAAAGACCCTGAGGTGGGACTCTGGGGACCAAGGCAGGCCAGTGTGACTGGGGGCTCTGAGCTGGGGAGAATTTGGATCTTGGGACGGGGAAGTGGCTCTGAGACAGGGTTTCTCTGTGTAGGTTTGGAGCCTGTCCTGGAACTCGCTCTGTAGACCAGGCTAGCCTCAGACTCACAGAGATCCTCCTGCCTCTGCCTCCCGAGTGCTGGGATTAAAGGCATGCGCCCCCACTACCCAGTGAGATTTTTTTAAGGCAGTGCTTGTTTGCAGGCCTGTGCCATCACGCCTCGCTCTCACCTCCCTCTCCTAGTCTTTCTGTCCTGACCACGGCAGGTCCTGCCTTCCTGTGTGTATGTCCATGTGTCTCTTTGTCCAAGACACACATTTTTGAGTTCGGGAAATGGCCTGGGGTGGGGATGGGGTTGCTGTCTGGTCCTCCAGCTCTCAGGCCCAGAAGGGAGGCCTAGGATTCCTCCGTCAGGAGCTGCAGGACTGGGGTCCAGATATCTGGACGGTTGGAAGGCAGGCTCAGACTCAAAACTGGCCAGGGGTAATGGCTAGCCCCTTCTCCTCACTTCACCTCATTTTCTTCTCCCACTTGCACACCCCAGTAGCTACTGTGATGCCCCACAAACCCAATAATGGTTTGGTGCACAGTCACATCAACGTTTATTCAGAGTCTGGGGTCCCAGTCTGTGAGACTTCTTTGCCCTTTCTTTGATTTTCCACCTCATGAGGTGGACCTGAGCTGAGTCCCTCATCCACTTCTCCTCAGTCAACCCCCTGCCCCCACCCCTTCCACACTCAGAAGTCTTGTTTGAATTTCCAAGTCCAGTTGTTCAAGCAGAAGGCATAGCCAGCCCCCCCTCCCACCAGGCAGGCCTCAGGGTGGTCTCCTGGGATTCAGAGATGAGGGAAAAGGATGCTTCCCCCTCAGGTCAGGGTCTGGAGTTCAGCAAGAGGGGGTTCTGGCCTTGGAAGAGGCCCAGCAGCCCACTGTCTGGGACTGGCTCCTTAATGATCTTCTGGATCTGTAGGCAGAGAAGGTCTGGGTCAGAAGTCAAGAATCACCCATCTGGCTGAGCAGTGGTGGCGCACGCCTTTAATCCCAGGCAGAGGCAGGTGGATCTCTGTGAGTTCAAGGCCAGCCTGGTCTACAAGAGCTAGTTCCAGGACAGGCTCCAAAGCTACAGAGAAACCCTGCCTCAAAAAAAAAAAAATGCCCATCTCCCGAGTCCTCATGGCAGCCTCTTTCCCCCAACCAACTACTCTCCTAAAAAAGTTTTCCTGGGGGTACGAGAGATGATTCAGCGATTAATTGCACTGGCTGTTCTTCCAGAGGTCCTGAGTTCAATGCCCAGCAACCACATGGTTGCTCCCAACCATCTATAATGAGATCTTGTGCCCTCTTCAGGCCTACAGATATACATGCAGACGGAACACTATATACATAACTAAATATTTTAAAAATATAACTAAACAGGCCAGGTGATGGTGGTGCATGTCTTTAATCCCAACACTTGGGAGGCAGAGGCAGGCAAATCTCTGAGAGGTCAAGACCAGTCTGGTCTACAGAGCGAGTTCCAGGACAGGTTCCAAAGCTACACAGATAATAATAAAGGAAAAAGAAAGGCTCCTCTGGGGATGAGCTGAGGGGGTGACTCGGTGTTCAAGTGTGAAGATTCCAGTTCAGTCGCCCAGAACCCACCTAAACTGGCTGGAGGCAGAGACAGGAACCCCAGAACAAGCTGTCTGGTGAGACTAGCCACATGCTCAAGCTGCAGGACTGAAATGGAGCCCCTGCCTCCATGAGGAAAAGCAATCAAGAAAGATTCTGGACACCAGCCTCAGGCCTCCATATGTGTGTACACACATATATGCTTACCACACACATGTGAATGCTCACATACACCCACTCTCCACACAGGTACACAAAAACAGGAGAAAAAAGATGGTGTTCTTTTTCGTCTGCTTCTCACTGCGCCTGCCTGGCTGAGCTCATCACCCACCATCTTGGTCTGCTCAGCTGCCTTGGACCCCTAATGATGGACGGCTCTGTTTTAGGGCCTTTTGCCTACACCTTCCTCTTCTTCACTATTCTCAACTTTTCTGTCATTCCTTTAAGCCTTCAGCTCCCACACTGGCCCAAACTGTGACCTTGAATTCTCAGTTTCATTCATACAAGTCCCTCTTGGTTGAACAGGAGTAACCAACCCCATTACCAGCATCAAATTCTCTCCAGATAACTAGACCAAAAAGCGCAAATCCCGCATCTCCACTGCCACGTCCCAGTTAAGTCCTGTAGGGGCTTCCTGGCTGGTCACACTCCTCTGTTCTATGCTACCTAATATAATATTGCTATTGCAGCCTTTCCCACTGGGAACAAATGAACAGCCTCTCTCAATACCTGGATGTTTTTCAAAGCCCAAAGAAATAATATTTCTTGCCGGGCAGTGGTGGCGCACACCTTTAATTCCAGCACTCAGGAGGCAGAGGCAGGCGGATCTCTGAGCTTGAGGCCAGCCTGGTCTACAGAGTGAGTTCCAGGACAGGCTTCAAAGATACACAGAGAAACCCTGTTTCAAGAAAAAAAAGAAAGAAAGGAAGGAAGGAAGGAAGGAAGGAAGGAAGGCAGGCAGGCAGGCAGGCAGGAAGGCAGGAAGGAAGGAAGGCAGGAAGGAAGGAAGGCAGGCAGGAAGGAAGGAAAGAAGGCAGGCAGGCAGGCAGGCAGGCAGGAAGGCAGGCAGGCAGGAAGGAAGGAAGGAAGGCAGGCAGGCAGGCAGGCAGGCAGGCAGGAAGGAAGGAAGGAAGGAAGGCAGGCAGGCAGGCAGGCAGGAAGGAAGGCAGGCAGGCAGGAAGGAAGGCAGGAAGGAAGGCAGGCAGGCAGGCAGGAAGGCAGGCAGGAAGGAAGGAAGGCAGGCAGGCAGGAAGGCAGGCAGGCAGGCAGGCAGGAAGGAAGGCAGGCGGGTAGGCAGGCAGGCAGGAAGGCAGGCAGGAAGGAAGGCAGGCAGGCAGGAAGGAAGGAAGGAAGGCAGGAAGGAAGGAAGGCAGGCAGGAAGGCAGGCAGGAAGGCAGGAAGGAAGGCAGGCAGGCAGGCAGGAAGGAAGGCAGGCAGGAAGGCAGGCAGGCAGGCAGGCAGGAAGGCAGGCAGGCAGGCAGGCAGGCAGGCAGGCAGGAGAGACAGGAAAAGAAACGCCACTTTTCAGGACGGCACAGTGTGCACAGCTGTAACCCTAGCACCCAGGAGGCTGAGGCAGGAAATTCCCGTGAGCTGGGTCTACAGACTGTTTCAAAGGGGAAAAAGTCAAAAGCAAAAGCAACCAATCAAACAACAACAAACAACCAGAAAGGGCCAGGGCTATCAAAATGCTTCAGTGAACATGCATGCTATCCTGGGACCCAACATGGGTGAAGGAGAAAACTGACTCCCTCACACTGAACTCTGACCACACACACACACACACACACACACACACACACATACACACACACACACACAAAAGCATGCTCTGTCTCTCAGTCTCTCTCTCTCTCGTAAATAAAATAGGAAACCCTGTACAGAGTTCTTTTTTAAAAAAGAAAGAAAGAAAGAAAGAAAGAAAGAAAGAAAGAAAGAAAGAAAGAAAAGGCCAGATGGATATAGTGGCTGTAATCCCAGCACGGGAGGCAGAGATACAAGCAGCATGGAGTTTAAAGTCGCCCTTGACTCCACGGTGTGCTGTCCTAGGAAAGCCAGGCACTCAGGAGACCCTTTCTCAAATAGGAAGTATCCTTCTAGTCACAGAAGCCCAAAGGGCCCATTACCTCCTTGAACTGGGGGTGAGCAGCATCCCTCACTAGCTGCAGAATAAGTGCCTCGCTGGTGGAGAGGAAAGCCCCGCTCTGCCTCATGCGGGCCAGCGCCACCAGCCGGTCGACCTGGCTACAGGAAAGAGAGAGGGCAGGCATCCATGCTGTGTGCCTGACATACATCGCGGGGGGCGCCCCCCCACACCCCCACCGAGACCCCTCTCACCTTCGAGAAGAGCAGGCGTCCACCACCACATGGACCTGCAGTCCCCGGTCCAGAAGGTCCAGGGCCGTGTTCTAAGGGCAGAGAGGTCCAGGTCCAGACCCAGAGTACAAACAGATCTCCCAGTGAGGGACTGGGGAGCCCCAGTCAGAACTGGGGATGAGGAGGCTCAGCCAGCGCCCCAGGGAAGGAGAGAAGGCCAGGAGGTGAGAATGGGGAACCAAGGGGACAGGCAGGGTCTCACCAAGATGCAGACTTGGGTCTCAATGCCACAGAGCAGCACCGAGCGCAGCTGGGGCCGGCCATCCAGCTCCTTCTGTAAGGTGGGCACCATGCTGAAGCATGTCTTACTCACTGGCCTAATGCCCTGAGCGCCCAGCTCTGGAACTGTGGGACCCAGGCCTTGTGGGTACTGCTCTGTCAGCAAGACAGGGACATCCAGCAGCCGGGCCGCCTACGTGAGAAAGGACAAGGATGAGGGCTGCGGACTGGATTCCTGGGTCTGGGGTCGGAGGCCTGGGCCTGAAACCCTGGGTCTTGCAAGACAGAGGGAGTTGGTACCTTGAGCATCCGAGCAGCCACCGACACGATCTGAGGGAAATAGGCTATGCTGGGACGGAACTTCTCCTGCATGTCACACAGGAACAGGATGGAGGACTCTGGGAGGATCCGGCCCAGGCTAGCCCTGGCTGCTGCCATGGTCTGGGGATGGACGGACGGACAGTAGGCAGGGTCAGGTGGGATTGTAGGGATTCAAGGGAAGTCTTTGGTGAATGGGAACTATTAGCATGCTCACGACCATGGCAAAAATCAAACACTCAGACCCATGGGAAATGGACAAAGCCTTCTTCAGGACTGAGTGTGAATATTGACAGTGTGTATAGGAAATGTCCACCACTTGGGACGTTTACAGCTGGACTGTCCCTACCTACAGAGTCTGCCCCCCTACCTACAGAGTCTGCCCCCCTACCTACAGAGTCTGCCCCCTTACCTACGTAGTCTGCCCCCCTACCTACAGAGTCTGCCCCCTTACCTACGTAGACTGCCCTCCTACCTACAGAGTCTGCCCCCTACCTACGGAGTCTGCCCCTACCTACGTAGACTGCTCTCCTATCTACAGAGTCTGCCCCCCTACCTACGGAGTCTGCCCCCCTACCTACGGAGTCTGCCCCCTACCTACGTAGACTGCCCTCCTATCTACAGAGTCTGCCCCCTACCTACAGAGTCTG